TTTCAATCAATAAAGTAATATAGGTCAGACACTACATCTCGAAAACTGGGTTATAAATTATTGATTTACTAATGCTCTCTCAGTGTTTGCTTTTGTAATTTAAATACAATAATATATTATTCTACTAAATAAAAACCAGGCTCCTATATCATTGTATTATACAGAACCTCGATGGAATAGCATTTACCTTAATTTGTATGACAAATGCAAGGTTAATAATCCACAAAAGGAATTTAATCTATAAAGACTAAAATAATTACACATATTATCTATGAGAGAACAGTAGTTTAGTTTCAGGATTTAAACATAATCTAAGACTATTACCTGGCGACATTCACGAGTAAGACGTTGTTCATGTCAGGATACAAATTACCAGTAGTATCGACCTATTTTGCTCATAAATTCTATATGTGTGCGGAAGCTAAACTTTAGTGTAAAAAAATGGTAACATCAGTAATTATGCTTGCATGCTTATTAAACAATGGTATAGCATTTACAGAAAGAAACCATTTGTTTGAGGTTATTTGATCCCAATGCATCAGACGAATATATTTAGAAACAATATCAGCGTTGAAGAATTAAAGAAACTGCAATGTTCATTGAAAACAGATAGAATAAAACAATGAACTAAATCTGATATGGACTAAATAAAAATGTTTTTTAATTATCACACTGTCATCTGTCTAAAGCATACATTTAGCACTATTTACATCTATATGTATAAAGCATGTACTCATCAATATTGGCATCTGTCGAATGAGTAAGTTCATCACTACTTAAATTATCATCTATTCAATGTCTCTATCAATGCTTACATCGTCATCTGTCTAATCCATCTGCTTATTAATACTTACAGTGTCATCTGTCCAATGCATCTGTTTATCACTATTTACATTTTCATGTCTAATACTGCTGTCACTACTGACGTTGTCATATCTCTAATACATAAATTTGTCATTACTTATATTGTCATCTATAATGCATTTGTTTGTCACTGCTTACATTGTAATGCATCTGTTTGTCAATACCTAATATATAGAAAATGCTCTCAAATATGAAATTGTGGTAATCATAGTATAAATTGGATAGCAGGGTATACACGTTTCGTTTGTGATTAATCAATGTTCCTATATTGATGAAATAAAACAAAAAAAGAATCCAAGCGAAATAATTAATAAAATTAGTACCTCTGTATACAGTGAGTTTTAATAGATTATGAGTTGACTTGCTGTACAAACAAAAAGCTAATGAAATGCTTTTACCTGTTTGGATTGTAAAGCATTATTTTGATTGTTTATATACCACAATTGCAATCTTGTGGTAGACTTTATAAATCCCCATAAATTAAATATGGAGCTCTCTATATTTCGCAACTGAGCCTTCTTTTGGCATTGATTCTATAAGGTTGTCTTACACTGGTCGTTAATTATTTATCCGATATACTTCACTACAGACTAATTTTACTTTTATCGTTTCTCTTCTAATTACACCAGTGTAACACATATTTGATAATGTCATAGTGGTACCTTCCATTTTCATAGTCGTTAGATCTGCCATATTTATATATTATTCAGATATAAACGTGTTTGCATTACTTATTTGGACATTTATAATAAAATCAATGTAGTCTCTCTTAGCTGCACCTTTTCCCATTTTCCAATGGTTTAGTAATCTCAGTTTTTTACTCTACATCGTTGTGACCAGTGACTGCATCTGTATAAAACAGATTTCAAAAACGGAGACAAAACACATATCATCGCAAGTTTTCAAATTGAATTCAAGGTTTCAATTCCTAAACCACTCAGAAACATATGCGTGGTCTTCCTGCAAACTCTTGCTACACACTTTAAAGCGCCTGCTACAATCCTTTAAGCCCTCGCAACGCACCTTTAAGCTCTCGCTACACACCTTTCAGCCCTTACTGCAAAACTTTTAAGCTCTTGCTACACACCTTTAAGACCTTGCTACACACCTTTTAGCTCTTGATACACACATATTAGTAATTGCTACACACCTTCAAATTCAGCTACACAGCTTTACGCCTCTGCTACACACATTAGGCCCTTGCTACACACCTTTAAGCTCTTGCTACACATATTTAAGTTCATGATAAACACATTTAAGCTCTAGCTGCACACCTTTCAGCCCTTGCTACACACCTTTATGTCCTTGAAGCTCTTGTCACATATATTTAAGACCTACTTCACACCTTTAAGCTCCTGCTTCATTGCTACCTACCTTAAAGGCCTTGCTACGTACACTTAGGCGCATGCTCCATACCTGTGGGCAATATTAAATATTTATTCTTAGCAAAGATACATTTTGTGTTTTCGTGTTTATTTTGTTATATGCAGTGCCACTTAAACGTTCATTTGTATCATCCATGGCGCTTCTATTTAATGAATTTAGGGTCATTGGCTTTATGATACGTATTTGATTGCCCAACTTGCTGTCAGTCTTGTACTAATATGTATCTACATTAATAAGCTATATTAGCAAATATCGTATAGCGTTACCACACCCCTGCTTATAACAGACAAGAACAATTAATCCGTCAATCGTAAGTGGCATTCTTAACAAATATCTGCGCCTGTCTAGACTAGTAGTTAGTACATCAAAACATTGTGATATGTGTTCGGTATTCAAGCATTTAATGTTTTGTCATATTTTCTTCTCCGAACGCGAAGTTTCATGAACGAGTATCATATACATTTCGGAATTTAAAATGCAACCCAACTCAGACCCACCCTACCTCAATGTCTTCCTTTCCCACCCACCCAAAAAATGACAAATATTAATAGGACAGAGACATTTGTTTAAAAACATATATTAGTGATCAAGAAATGTATATATATGGGATGTTGCTTTCACACAACATGAATGCATACACAAGCACGCAGGTACGCGCACACGCACGCACGCTCACACACACATTCATACATACATACATACATACATACATACATACATACATACATACATACATACATACATACATACATACATACATACATACATACATACATACATACATACATACATACATACATACTAGAGAAATTTTACCGCATCGTACCGTGTTTCTAATCATTCCGCGGTATGTACCAGGTATACCTTAATAATATTAGGAACCAATTTCCTTTGGGCATGGGAATGACACATGCTTAAGTGTAAATTTCCGCCTGTCAATAACTAAAAATAAACTATCTAGATTTGATTTATAGGAAATTAACACCACATTACATACATGAAATATTTTGAATCAATTATAAATATCTTGAGATATAAGATAATATAATTTCTTAGCTCAAAAGAAAATGGCAACCCAACCCCTCCCAATTAAATGATCAGTATCTTATAACAGATGAATTTGCTATGTAAATGTAAATCGAAAACTGACTAAAATGGGATCATTAACCGTGCACTAACGCTGACACTGTGAAAGGCATTGTACTGGTATTAGAGAGCTTATTGATGAAAGGAAGGAAATGTCTTGACGCTATAGCCTAAACTTGGAGTTGTTGTTGTTGTTATTATTATTATTATTGAGTTTGTATGGTTTAACTCCATTTTTCAGCACAAGACAAGCTGCACATGGCGGCCAATATAAATGGTAGATGAAGAAGCAGGGAAAACCCCAGAAAAATCCACCGATCTCAAGCAGGAGGAAGGGTGAACCCAACAACTTTTTGCTCGACTCCGTAAGCAAAAATAACGGTTCCTACATACATACATACATACCTACCTACCTACATACCTACCTACCTACCTACCTACCTACCTACCTACCTACCTACCTACCTACCTACATACATACATACATACATACATACATACATACATACATACATACATACATACATACATACATACATACGTTCAAGTGCAGGATGGATAGTCAGGGTCAATGTTTAAGATAACTGTACAAAGTTGACAACGAAAGGACTGCCTGAGGACGATTTGAATTGGCAAAAATTCAAAGAAATTTTGGGCAAGTTTTGATTACAAAAGTTGGGTGTCAGGACTATTCAATGTAGCAGTAATGACAAAATTGATATGTAATCCTCCCAGATGAAAATGAATCCATATCCCAAAGGGGTGGGTGGGGATTATATCTGCTTTCACCGTGTACAAGGTTTGGCATCAGGGTCCAATGGTTAGATAGATTATATGATAGTTTGAGAGCATACTGACGAGTCAATTTGTTAGTCTCAGATAAATTAATGGTTCATTTATTTCAATTTAGAGAATTTCTGACTAGAATGATCTATTTGTGCCCGGTCAGTGTTAGTTCTGTGTATCGATCTAACATCTGCAGGTAAGATTTACAACCTTATCCGTACACAGTCCAGTCTTGTTTAAACTTTGATATGATTGAAGTCCTATAAAACGGCATAAAGATCAACACGTACACTTCTCAAAATTTATTTGCCACGACTCGTATTAAATACGGAATATTTACATATTCGTTCCAGGAGTATCTAATATGCAGAAGAATAATTAGCCCACTTTCCACGAAACGTTGTGTAGAAAGATAATTTTGTCTCATCAAATCTTCGATATATCTGGCAGAGAAGTATAAAAATAAATTTACATTTCGAAAATGTTAAGCAATTGCTGTCTGCCAATTTCTGTGTTCTGTTTAAGCAGACATGCAGTCGGCGTTCAGAAGAATACAAATGCTCTGAGCATTAGCATCCAAAACGTCTTTGAAATATCATGATCAGTCAGTACTTGGATAAAGGCACTTCAATATGTTATGTGATGTGATTATGACTTTAACATAGCTTTAAAAAGTTTACAGTCATATCGCTATGATGTCTGCAGTGTGGCAGTTTATAGTGATGTCTATCACTGAGGCATCATGCAGCAGACATGTAGCATGATGTCCCACCCAGTCTTATTATTCTGACACCAGGCCGATCAGTCCTAACACTAACCTCTTAATGCTGAGCGTCAAGCGAGGCAGCTGTTAGTACCATTTTTGTAAGTCTTTGGTATGACTTGACCCGGGGATTTAGCCCACGACCTTCCGCATTCGAGGCGGACGCTGTAACCACTAGGCCACCGTAGCGGTATACTATGCTATTTTAATGGTGCTGGTAATGATGATAAACAACATGATGTTCTAGGGTTCACCCAACTTTTCAGAACAATATTCGAATCGGTGATATGTAACTGAAATCTAAGATGTATATATTTAATGAAATAAGGATAAATGATAGATAGTTTGTACCATTAGACCGAGGCTGAATAGATCATTTATTATTCCGGTATTTAAATATGGTGTCCAAAGCATTCTGGAACTATGGGAAATGTATTATTTCTTTTTGAAAACTTATCTAATAAATGTTTCAGATCTGACTTGATCGGCAAATGTGCCTTCCGGTGGCTGATAGTAATATGGCTGACTCCAGATGCTAGACTAGTGGGTTATTTATGACACTTTGCGTTTGTATGCAAGTGTAGTTTGTTAGTAATATGGAACGATATGGAAAGGTAGGTTCGTGACAGGTTCATGTATTGGTACAACTGTAAAATCCCGCCAATATGATTGGAAGTCGTCAGTTTCCTAAATTGTAATATTTAGTGTTTCAGTATTTTATATCCATCGGTCGACTTATTAGAGTTTATATTTGCACACTGTTTATTGGACTTCTGTATCAATGAATTGAAAAATAATGTTATTGATCTTTCAGACGTCAGTAATTTATATAGATTTTTTTTTCTAATTTTTTAGTATAAAAAATGTATGCATATAATGAACTATTGGTAAACAAGTCAAATATGTCATTCATATGGTTACCATTATATGGACAGCTGGTACCTTCATGTTGCTTTTTGACTGTTTTATTGTAGAGTATACTTTGAACATTGAATGTTTGAATGTTTATTGTGCACAGTGTGCACGTTAGTTACTTAGTAAGTTACTTAGCTAGTTAGGAAGTAAGGAAGGATAGATAGATCGAGAGAGAGAGAGACTGCTTTAAGTTTTGTTTTAAAAATCATTTTACATGTAGTTCAAATAGCGATACGGTAATTTGTTCAGACCAATTCTTAATGAGTCGATCATGTACATGATTAACGATGCCAGCTTCACAGTATTCATCTTGATTGATAGAACCTTACGTTACTGGAAGTCTGGAGTACAAAATTCACTTCGACTAACTCAATGCGAAATCAAGACCAGTGCTTAGACTAACTCGAAACCAGGTTAGTCAGAAAAAGAAAGATTTACATCCTATTGGAGATTGTGTAAAATTAAAATAATTATTTTACAAATTAAAAACAATCTTACCTATTTAATTCGTCGCTAAATAGCTAGTTCACTGATTATCTGCTGAGATTTTATCCTGTCCGATGTATGCTCTTACAGAGCGAATATTCTCAAACGCTAATAGTATGAAAATGTATTACATGTCAAAGCTCAGTAAATATAACATCCTTCTAGGCATACATGCCGATTCAAAATAATGTTTAATCATCTGCCCGTGTTCTATACATATTTGCGGCAAATGGAATTAGCGGGCATTTGAGCGCGACCGCTGTGTGCAGCAGCATAACGAGTGTAGCGAAGAGAAGGGAGGCAAATCGGCGAATTCTCATACGTAAAGTTATCCGTTATACGAAGCGCTTTTGGACCAGAAGAATTGGGCATTTGCTTCCAACAAGTTTTATCCAATAAGTAACGAATTTGAATACAGATTTTTTTCAACGGGGATCCATAAATGTGTTGAACACGGGTAGTGTCCACGACAGGGACGTCTCATTTTACACATATTTAACTTCAAAATATGAACTAAATCATGACTTTACGTTAAAGGAACAATTCTTTCGAGAACAAAATATTATGCACAATGTGTTTTACCGTTTTCTGGTCCTTCGAGAATTTAGTGGGTGTTTTTAAAAAAGAAAATGGATGCTGAAATTGAAAAGCACTTAGAGATATAAAGGCAATATGTTGTAAGTATTTCAAATGAACTATGATATCCACCATGAATAAATTGTCAGTCAGAACGGTCAGGTGTTCATTGAAACCAAAACCTGGACATGATCTCGTGTCGCATTAAAACTACAATCAACAGTTGAAGATGATCTCCTGTCAAATTAAATTATAATAAATTAGTAAGATGATCTCGTGTCCTATCAAAATTATAAGAACATGTCGAACTTGATCTCGTGTTACATTAAAATTACAAGCAAATGCTGAAGATGATTTCCAGTCTTATTAAAATTACAATCAAACCTCGAAAATGATCTCTCGTCCCGTTACATTACAATCAAACCTCGAAAATGATCATGTGTCACTTTAAAATTACAAACAAACCTCGATGATATCATGTTCCATTAAATTGCAATCAAAAGTAGAAGATGATCTAGTGTCTCATTAAAATTGCAATCAAAAGTAGAAGATGATCTCGTATCCCATTAAAATTGCAATCAAAAGTAGAAGATGATCTCGTGTCTCATTAAAATTGCAATCAAAAGTAGAAGATGATCTCGTGTCTCATTAAAATTGCAATCAAAAGTAGAAGATAATCTAGTGTTCCATTAAATCACAATCAAAAGTAGAAGATGATCTCGTGTCCCATTAGAATTGCAATCAAAAATCGAAGATGATCTCGTATCCCATCAGAATTGCAATAAAAAGTAGAAGATAATCTAGTGTTCCATTTAATCACAATCAAAAGTATAAGATGATCTCATGTCTCATTAAAATTGCAATAAAAAATAGTAGATGATCTCGTATCCCATTAGAATTGCAATCAAAAGTAGAAGATAATCTCGTGTTCCATCAAATCACAATCAAAAGTAGAAGATGATCTCATGTCCCATTAAGATTGCAATCAAAAGTAGAAGATGATCTCGTATCCCATTAAATCACAATTAAAAGTAGAAGACGATCTTGTGTTCCATTAAATCACAATCAAAAGTAGAAGATGATCTCGTGTCCCATTAAATCACAATCAAAAGTAGAAGATGATCTCGTATCCCATTAGAATTGCAATAAAAAGTAGAAGATAATCTAGTGTTCCATTTAATCACAATCAAAAGTAGAAGATGATCTCATGTCCCATTAAAATTGCAATAAAAAATAGAAGATGATCTCTTATCCCATTAAAATTGCAATCAAAAGTAGAAGAAAATCTCGTGTTCCATCAAATCACAATCAAAAGTAGAAGATGATCTCATGTCCCATTAAAATTGCAATAAAAAATAGAAGATGATCTCTTATCCCATTAAAATTGCAATCAAAAGTAGAAGAAAATCTCGTGTTCCATCAAATCACAATCAAAAGTAGAAGATGATCTCATGTCCCATTAAAATTGCAATCAAAAGTAGAAGATGATCTCGTATCCCATAAAATCACAATCAAAAGTAGAAGACGATCTTGTGTTCCATTAAATCACAATCAAAAGTAGAAGATGACCTCGTGTCCCATTAGAATTGCAATAAAAAGTAGAAGATAATCTAGTGTTCCATTAAATCACAATCAAAAGTAGAAGATGATCTCATGTCCCATTAAAATTGCAATAAAAAATAGAAGATGATCTCGTATCCCATTAGAATTGCAATCAAAAGTAGAAGATAATCTCGTGTTCCATCAAATCACAGTCAAAAGTAGAAGATGATCTCATGTCCCATTAAAATTGCAATTAAAAGTAGAAGATGATCTCGTATCCCATTAAATCACAATCAAAAGTAGAAGACGATCTTGTGTTCCATTAAATCACAATCAAAAGTAGAAGATGATCTCTTGTCCCATTAGAATTGCAATCAAAAGTAGAAGATGATGTCGTTCGTGTCCCATTAAATCACAATCAAAAGTAGATCATATCTTGTCCAATTAAAGTACAATCAAAAGTAGAAGATGATCTCGTATCCCATTAGAATTAAAATCAAAAGTACAAGATGATCTTGTGTTCCATTAAATTACAATCAAACGTAAAAGATGATCTCGAGTCCCATTAGAATTGCAACCAAAAGTTAAAGATGATATCGTGTCACATTAAATCACAATTAAAAGTAAAAGATAATCTCGTGTCTCATTAAAATTGCAATCAAATATCGACGATTATCTCATGTCCCATTAAATCACAATCAAAAGTAGAAGATGATCTCGTGTCCCATTATATTACAATCAACATTATAAGATGATCTCGTGTCCCATTAAATTACAATCAAAAGTAGAAGATCATTTCGTGTCCCATTAGAATTGCAATCATAAGTAAAAGATGATATCGTGTCCCATTAAATTACAATCAAAAGTATAAGATGATCTCGTGTCCCATTAAATTACAATCAAAAGTAGAAGATCATTTCGTGTCCCATTAGAATTGCAATCAAAAGCAAAAGATGATGTCGTGTCCCATTAAATTACAATCAAAAGTATAAGATGATCTCGTGTCCCATTAAATTATAATCAAAAGTAGAAGATCATTTCGTGTCCCATTAGAATTGCAATCAAACGTAGAAGATGATATTGTGTCCCATGAAAATTTCAAACAAAAGTAGATGATATCGAGTCCCATTAAATCACAATAAAAAGTAAAAGATGATCTCGTGTCCCATTAGAATTGCAATCAAAAGTCGAAGATGATCTCGTGTCCCATTAAATCTCAATCAAAAGTCGAAGATGATCTCGTGTCCCATTAGAATTGCAATCAAAAGTAGAAGATTATATTGTTTTCCATTGAAATTAATTTCATGTAGTGCTCTTGTTTATTTTATATTTTCTGCATGATCATGGGTTAGAAATATTACGATTACGAAATTAGTATTCAAAGTTGAGTCTTAAGTTATATTATTTCACAGTTTACTAAAATTTAATAATTTCTTAATGCACGTTTGAGATAATAAATGATGGTATATTGATTTATAATACGTGATAATCGCATTGTGTCTGCAGCGCTATATTGTAAAGTCGGTTATTTGTGACAAAATCTTATATAAGTTACATATTATATACCACGATTCCAAACGTTTGGCTTATAACAACTTCATCAAGGTAGAGTACAGGTTTAAATCAATGTCTTGAATTGCAGGTTGCACCTGATGATTATTTGC